GCTTCTTTGTTTGAGTTTGTTTATTCTGGCAGATTGGGAAGGATGGAGGTTCACAGTGGGTTCACTGGGAAGGGAGATGTGCTGATTCCAGAAGGCTTTGACATGGACAGACAGTGAAGTAGTCTTAGGTACTTAAGATGCTATTTTTGAGTTAGACTCAGAGCCAGAGGAGTTTTTAGAACTGGATTTGACCTTTGAAGTTACATAGGTCAGCATTTTCCATGAATACTGATGGAAAAATTATGACCTAACAGATATTAGAAACGTCAGTTTATACAATGTTAGTGGAATTCTTTTTTCTTTTTTTTGAGGTTTTGCCTAGGTTTTATTTTACTAAATATCACAACTACATTTTCAATTCATTCCAGCAATAACTGTGTAGCCACTGTTTTATTACAAACATCTAAGCTACAAAAGCTCAGTCCAAGGAACCATTAGGAAAATTTTCACCAGCCCTCTGTTCCCTGGAGGCACACTTTGAGAACAGGCACACTTTGAAAAGCATGTCTTAGACTGATATGCTTTTCTGGCTGTTTTCCAACTTGTTTATAAAATTAGTTTTATTATTTAATGATGATTTTTTTTCTAACCACGTGATTGGCACTCTAATAATCTTTCCTTGTAACTACCATATTTTTAATCCCCCAAGCTTTATTCATGTGTAATCCTTACTAATAAAAGGGTAATATACAAATTGGTTGGGACGCCTTCATGCAATGCCCAAACAGCAGGCTGCATGGGGCGACCAGGCCAGCAGGGGCAAGTGGGGGGCAGTGAGGGGCAACCAGCCCAGTAGAGGGGGGCAGTTAGGGGCAACTAGGCTGGCAGGCAGAGGCCATTAGGGGTGATCAGGCAGGCAGGCAGGTGAGTGGTTAGGAGCCAGCAGTCCTGGATTGTGAGAGGGATGTTCAACTGTCAGTTTAGGCCCGATCCCAGGGATGTCTTAGACTAATATCCACCAGGGATTGATGATTTTTTTTCTAACCACGTGATTGGCACTCTAATAATCTTTCCTTGTAACTACCATATTTTTAATCCCCCAAGCTTTATTCATGTGTAATCCTTACTAATAAAAGGGTAATATACAAATTGGTTGGGACGCCTTCATGCAATGCCCAAACAGCAGGCTGCATGGGGCGACCAGGCCAGCAGGGGCAAGTGGGGGGCAGTGAGGGGCAACCAGCCCAGTAGAGGGGTGCAGTTAGGGGCAACCAGGCAGGCGGGGGAGAAGTTGGGGATGACCAGGCTGGCGGGGGGGCAGTTAGGGGCAACTAGGCTGGCAGGCAGAGGCCATTAGGGGTGATCAGGCAGGCAGGCAGGTGAGTGGTTAGGAGCCAGCAGTCCTGGATTGTGAGAGGGATGTTCAACTGTCAGTTTAGGCCCGATCCCAGGGCTGTCCACCAGGGATTGGGCCTAAACTGGCAGTCAGACATCCCCCGAGGGGTCCCGGATTGGAGAGGGTGCAGACTGGGCTGAGGGGACCCCCCCCCCACACACACACAAATTTCGTGCACCGGGCCTCTAGTAGATATATAACATTGTATAAGTTTAAGGTATACAACATGATGATTTATATATGTATATACTATGAAATTATTACCATGATAAGGTTAACACATCCATCACCTAACAAAATCACCTTTTTTGTGTGTACAGTGAAAACATTTAAAATATACCCTCTTAGCAATTTTAAAGTATATAATGCAGTATATTAGAACTTCAGGACTTATTTGCCTTATATCTGGAAGTTTTTACCCTTTCATCAACATCTCCATATTCTACTCTGCCCCAGCCTCTGGCAACCACACCTCTACTCTCTGTTTCTATGAGTTTTGCAAATGTCCACATATAAGTAGATGATTTGTCTTTTTCTATCGGACATTTCACTTAGCATAATGCTCTCAAGGCCCATCTATGTTACTGCAAATTAATAGGAATTCCTTCTTTTTATGACTGGATAATATTCAATTGTATATATGTGACACATTTTCCTTATCCGCTTACCCACTGATGGACACTTAAGTTGTTTCCATGTTGTAAAATATGGCTATTATAAATAAGTAGAGGCCCGGTGCATGAATTTGTGCACCAGTGGTGTCCCTTGGCCTGGCCTGTGGGATCGGGCCAACACTGACTCTTCGACATTCCCCAGAGGGTCCCAGATTGTGAGAGGGTGCAGGCCAGGCCGAGGGACCCCACCGGTGCACAATCAGCGCTGGGGAGGG